GAGGGGAGGAGAGAGAGAGGAGGGGAGTGGTTCAAGTTGCAGGGGAGAGGAGGGGGAAGTGAAGGAAGGGCTCTGGCTGCCGGAGCCCGTGCGAGTGGCACCATCCGGCTGGCTGCCCTGTAAACCGCGCACGCTCTGCATGGGGGGGGCGGGGGAGAGTCCGGACATTGACAAATTCCCCCCGGACGCTATTTTTAACTGAAAAAAGCCGGACATGTCCAGGGGAATCCGGACGAATGGTAACCCTACTCCAAGCCCCTCCTGTCCGCTACACCACAGGCTGCTCACCATCAGCTTTGATATCAGTGTTCCTATTTTCCTGTTCCTAATGTCCCTCCCATTTAACATCCTCTGTCCCTTCCTTTGGTTTTCCTTATTTTGTTTCTTCCCATCCTTTGTCTGCTAGGTTGCTTTAGCAGCCTAATTTAGCACGTACCCTTAATTTGTCTTCTGGCAGATGTCTAAACAGCGGTAGAGAAGTCAGTTCACAAGCTTATTAATGCCAGCTGACCATTCAGATATCTAGTCTTGCAGTGAGTCTTGTACTAAGGCAGAAGTACCCAATGTCTATCATAACTTTAAAGCCATTGTTTTGGGCCCTGTCTGCACTATATGTAGATCCAGGCAAAGCTCTCAAATACTAGTGCTCCTGGCCAGCTCTCCTTGTGTTCCCTTCCATCCTCAGGGTAACCAGGTTTTTCTTCCAAATTTCTCGTGCACTCAACATGAGTCAAAAACCTTCTGCAGGGAAATGTCTAGGCCAGGAGGCTTGAATTCAAGCTGAATCTTCAGGGATGTTTCTTCAACCTTGTTTGTTTGTTGCTTGCATGGAAAACTGCTTTGGAAGCACAGTTATCACATGGAAGAATATTTGTATCACTGCTCATTAAGACTTGCTTTTTATTGCCATGTTTGGCCTGCAGAAGTAAGCCTTCAATTTTGAGTAGAAACTGTAGTGCTAGCAATGCAGAAGGAAGAAAATGCAAGTATGTTTCTTTTAGGAATGCAAAAGAAAAATGTCAAGTTGTTCTATTCACTGATACTTTTGAAATGCTGAGACTCAGATTACTGTTTTTTCTTTTCTTTTCACAGGCCAGTATGGAAATCCTTTAAATAAATACATTAAACATTATGAAGGATTGTCATATGATGTGGATTCATTACACCAAAAACACCAGCGTGCCAAAAGAGCAGTGTTGCATGAAGACCAGTTTCTGCATCTAAATTTTCATGCACATGGAATGTGAGTAATTTTTATTTAAAGCTATTCACCTTAAGAATACTTCCCATTTATTTTAACAAAATACAGATGCATTGGTTGAAGTACTATACAAGTGCATATGAATGTTATATAATTTGAATGTTAAAATATTTTAAAGATAGCTTTCATAATGCAAGTGAATTAACTGTAGGTGTTCAGAATAAATCACACTGAGTTGCAACTGTCATTTTTACTTAACTTCCTCAGATTTTCTTGTTTAACCTCAAACCAAAGATTTTATTTTTGGCTAAGCTTAAATCTCTGTTGGTTTTTGAAATATGTTAAGAGTGGAGTGGCATAGTTATTCCTGGTTTTGTAATGCATTTTTGGACTTTGTGAATAGCACAAAGCTGTACACTGAACTTTGCCTGTGAGTAGTCTTCATTGAAGAAAATAGTCGAATTTGGGACAAAATACTAAATTTCGTAAGCAACTAAAAATGCGTTTTCTATACTTATAACTGAAAACTGAAGTTATCTAACTCCATGTTGCCAGAGAAAATTAGGTAATTCCATAGTGTCACATTGTAGATAAATGTGGTGTGTGGGTGAAAACTAGCACTGTGCTGCAAAGATTTGAAAAACCCTGGTCCTGCAGGTAGCTTGCCTTTTTATTTAATAATAAATAAAAAATAAAATAAAAGAGAACTCTTGTATTTAACTTACCTTTTGCTCTTCCTGATTTTTTTATGGTCAAATTTGCTCTGAGACTGTCTATATACCACAAGTGCTACAGCAGCACAGTTCTACAGCTATGCGACTGAAGGGGTTTTTCTGTTGCTATGTTGCCCAATTCTTTAGTAGTTATTAATTATTGATTTCTAATTAATACTAATTTAAATAGGGTACTGTAGGTTCTAGTCCCAGGATCTGGCTTGACAGAATCAAGGTTATTGAGTTCAGTATCTGGTTGGGAACCCCAGAGTACACAGTGTAGACACTCAGACTGAGGGGAAAGCAAAGCTTTAATACCCGTTGTGAACACAATTAGTAAAGCCACAGAAGCGCCAAACCACATAAAAGGATAGCAAAAATACAGAGTTACGGTGATATATTGTACAATCCCTCACATATGTACTCATATAGTCATACCCTTGCTTGGGGATCTGATTGTAAGAGACAACCTGCTCTGATCCTGGCATGCCAAACAAGGCCCATGGTCCAGATTGATGGACAACAATGACCCCCTTTATGTGGTGGTCTGGCCTATTGTAGGGCCCAGGGGCTGTCATGAATATTCATTCAAATGCTCAGTCTCCCTTGTCCATATCCAACTTTTATCCTATAGATAAGTATATTAATGATTTTAGCTTATTGCCATATACATCCGTTAATTGCCAGGGCAAATACGTGGTTAAGCATCTGCTGACAGTCTATCCAAACATACCCAAGCCTAGTATCAGCTCAACATTCCTGTGGTTATCTGGTAGCATTTTAGACAACCCCTTCCCTTAAGCACACTATTTCCAGTTCCCCAAAACTCAGAGTAACTTGGCCATTTATCTATGCCAGAGTTCGCAGGCCTCAAAGCCTTATGCTAATTTATACTTAACTGCTTAAGCTTATGTCTTACAGGATATGGGCCTGTAGGTTCCTTGCATTACTGCCAAGTGAAATAAAATGCTAAAGATAGCTCTATAGGCTACAACTGTAGTAAATCTATCCCCTTGAGAGGTGGTAGTTAGGTTGAGGGAAGAATTCTTCTGTCAACCTAATGGTGTCACTACTGGGGCTTAGGTCAGCTTAATTTTGTGTCTCTCAGGAGTGTGAATTTTTCATGCCCTCTGAGTGATGTATCTAGGTCAATATAGGTTTAGTTGTAGATCAGGCCTGAATCTATACTTATGTAATATTGATATAGCCATATTCATCTCTGATGTAGGAAAGTATTATCTTTATTTGACACGGTAGAACAGAGTTACAGAAAACATCACATTTCAGATATCCTCATTTTGGTTGCCTCAGTGACTGCGTGCTTAACTTGAAGTATCCAGGGCTTGATATTTCAGAGGTTCTGAGCATCCAGAGCTCTCAATTATTTCAGCTAGAGTTGTAGGTGTCACAGCTAAGCACCCATAAAATGAGGAACGGTTAGTAGCCACATCTTAAACATTTTAATCTAAGTGACTTGACCAGCATCACATAAGAAGCCGGTGGCTGAGGAAGGATAAAGCCCAGATTACCTGGATCCTAGCCTCATGCCTTGCCCACAAGGACTATCCTTTCTATTCCTGCAGCAATTGCCTTATTCAGTATGAACCTTCTGAGGGAATGCAAACATGAGAAAGGAAATAGAAATTCTCAGCTGTTTATATTAGGCAAAACCTAGATGGGATTTCAGGGGACACAGAAAAGGCTGCCTCTATCGCCCTTCAGTCTTTTTTCCACTGCTATATTTTAAAGGCCTGCTGCAAACAATGGATGTTTTGGAGCGTCTCAAAAAAAAGACAAAAAAAATCTTCCTGTCTCTCAACTGTGTTCCTCTGGGTGGTGGTCACCATTTCCTTGGATTACTTTTGAGGATCAGTGGGTGCATTATACTGTGAGCCCAGAGCTCCAGGTCTCCTGAGCTCCTAGTTACATAGACGTGTTTCACAGAGTTCACCTGGCTGGGGGAACTAAGGTTGCTAATTAAGCCTGCAGGGACAACATGTCAGGAAAGGAAGGAGTATAGGCTTGGCAAAGGCATTTCCTAACCACTGTCACTTTCTAATAATGTTTGAGTTACAGATCTATAAAAATAAAATATGAGCACAGCCTCCCCCAACTCCTGGTGCCTGATCTCGATGCTCTTGAGAGCCCTGGGTTTGGTTGAAGTACATAAGGCAGGGTCCCCAAATTGGGGGCCGTGCCCCCATAGAGGCATGTGGAGGAACATTGGGGAGGTGGCGTGTGTGGAAGGGCCTGGGCCAGCCCCATGGGGCCACTCTTCCAGACCAGATCCACCCCCACCCTCGCTCTTCCCCCACCTCCCGTTGAGCCTCCAGTCCTGCTCTGCCTTCAGGCCCCACCCAGCTTCCAAGGGGGGGTAGGGAGGGAATGCTACATTTCCAGCCCAGCTCCACCCTCATTCCCTCTCTGTCCCTCCCTCCCCCGACCAGCTCCGCATCTAGCCCCAGCTCCAGCCCAAGCTCTGCTGTTGAGGAAACCTTGGCTGTGCAGTAATGGAGGGAGGACACTGACCGATTCCATTACTGGTTAGGGAGGAGGGTGACTGGAAAAATTTGCTCAACTCCTGCATGTTGCGATGGTCTGGCCTCTTGCTTAGAAAAGTATCCCTCTTCTAAAACAGCCTTTCTCCCCCTCTTCCCTGTGTGCTTCAGCTCCCCTCCCTCTTCTGTTATGTGTATAGAGACATTTAAAGTCAAGGGCCCTACTGGAAGAAAACCCATTGTTCCAATAGGGGAGAGTCATTCAACATTGATGGCTGTGCCATAGCTTCTCAGACAATTTTTCTGCTAGGTGTCATGCCCCTGCCACAAAATGGATGCTCTAATCAACAAAGGAGGTTGTAATGCAGCATGAAGGTCATGCTCCAAATGATTACAATGGAAAATACAACCCCTGAAACAACATGGGGTTTATAATTTGATATTGACGCATCCTCAGTTTCACATTGACCACTGTGATCAGTAAATAATCGATGACAGTCTCCAGAAAAGTACCAGTATTATATTGGTGTTGTAAACAGGTTCCAACATCTCTTACTACATTTTGCTTACCTAAAAATTTTAGCTGATGTGGGATTCTATATTCTAAATATTGCCATAGTGTGTTGATAGTTATCTGCTGCATTTCACCAAAGAAGTGGTTTCTCTTCAGTGGTGGATAAGTCATCCATATATGTAGCTTTATCTACATCAGGGATCGGCAACCTTTGGCACATGGCGGGCTGGGCCGGTTTGTTTACTTGCCGCGTCCGCAGGGTCAGCCAATTGCGGCTCCCACTGGCCACAGTTCGTTGCTCCAGGCCAATTGGGGCTGTAGGAAGGGGCGTGGGCCGAGGGATGTGCTGGACGCCGCTTCCCGGCATGCCAAAGGTTGCCGATCCCTGATCTACATGATAATTTTAAAGCTCCATTGGATGAAAATAGCTAAATAAAATTTAGATAGTGATCTTTGAAAGACTTTCCACTGTAAACTAGTCTCTTGTGCTCCAGTTCCATAAGGTAACTGAGCCCAGGAACCTGACAGTTTTTTTTTTTAAAAGATAGCATGAGAACATCTGCAGTTACCTTAGAAAGAATTTTAAAAAAAGCGTGGAAGGGATATAAATCTGCGCGCTTCAGGATATAAGCCAACTTCTTACTTAAGGGGTTAGGAGGAAACTTCCTACACAGATAGGTGTCACCGTTCTGGTTGAGCTCCTTGTAGACACTCACCAGGCTGCTGAGTTTGGATCTCAACACTGGACTTCTGTGTTTTTTGGCTTTCTGATCATATTCCAGGTACTATCTCTGGCTTTGGGTCTCTAGGCACACAGGGTACAGATCCTTCATCTAACTCTGGCCCCTCTCTGAGCTGGGACTTTATTGCCTACTTGCCTAGGCCCTGATATTAGCATCATCCTCGCAAGGCTTTCCAATAACTTAAGTACATCCATTCCAGAACTCCAGCATTGTGGGCACTCTGCTTTATGGTTTATCCCTTCAGAGACATCTAATAGCTGAAGCAAACCGCTAAACTTACATATGATTTCCAACACAATAACTCTTCATTTTAGATGGGGTCAGAGGTACAGATCTAGGCAAAACAAGAAACATCTGCGCAAAAATTCTTCCCTCGGTTTCCTCAGCACTTTGCAGCATTCTTTGGGACTGTACTCTGTGTCTTCTCGTGGTTCCAGGACTCCATTCCTCCAGGTCAGGGTTCTCTTCCAGATCCTGGAGTCACTGTCTGAACTCTGCAGTTCATTTCCTCTAGCTGTGGCTGGTGTCCCGCAGTCAGATAGTTCTCTCTCCCTCCTCAGCCCCTGGTTTTAAA